CTAGCACGAGATATACACAAGCAACTGAGGAATCCAATGAAGAGGAAATGCGACTAAATCTTGATCTACTTGAAGGAAAAAGAGAAGCTGCATTAATAAGGATGGCAGCGCAAAAACAAGTTATGGAACGATACTACAATCGAAAAGCATGTCTAAGATACTTCAAGATTTGAGACTTCGTACTCAAGAAAGTTTTTCAATCCACAAAGGCGGCTAATGCGGGAAAATTAGGTCCAACCTGGGAAGGACCCTACAAGATTCATGGTATTGCAGGGAAAGGAGCATACAAGTTGGAAACAATGGATGGTAAGATATTACCTTCACATTGGAATGTTGTTCACCTGAAGAGATACTATTTCTAAGGAAAACCCACGGGCAGGTATCCTCATTTTAAAATTTTATTTTTGAATTGTTAAGATTTTACTAACGATTTTAGATTATAGGCAAAAAGTTAACACGTACTAAATGATGAATCACGACCTGCAAGGCATGTGGAATAAATTAAAATTCTCGGTGTAGGGTTACAACTATTTTGATAGAAATTGAGACGGGTTAAGCAGTCTTCATCTATAATCGTACCTCCGAGTCCCGTATGTTTTATTCCTTTACAGGAAAAGGACCAAACAAGAGGAGTAATCAAGTGCTCGAGACTTCATACTTCAATTCTCAAACACTTGGGGGACTACATAATATATATAGACACATGCATAAAGAAGGCAAAGAAGATTGAAGTTCAAGCCTGAAAAGTTTACTCATTGAATGAGTCAGGTGCAGAGCAAAGTCACGAGCTAAAGCCAAAGAAAAACCTCATCATAGTTAGGTTAAAGGCAATATACATGTATTGAAACGGGTTATAAATAAACACCTTGTTAACGGGTTATAAATAAAAACCTTGTTGTATATTATTTTTTGAAAATCTGTTGTAAGGAAAACAGTTACGAAAAAGTTATAGAAGTTATTTAAATACATGTAAAATGTTATTTAAAGCTTGACAGAGTTCAAATAAAAACTTGTCAAAGGTATTTCAAGAAACATGTGTATTCCTATTTCTTTTGTCGTATATTAACACCATTATGAAGTTGAGACGTCTTCTTCATTAAGTGTCGAATATAAAAGGGCCCTCTTTTATAAAATTCATGATTGATTCAAATATTCATGAAGTAAACAAAAAAAAAGCATTTTTGCAAAATAAAAATGCAAGTTATCCAATAAGTCCTTAAATATAAAGGCAGGAATAAGCAAAACAGAAGTTCAAGCAATAACAGAAAACTTCTTAATATTAAAAAAAAAGTATAGACTAAGTATAAACTTAGTCATAAACTAAAAGTTGTTTATACAAAACGCCCCGAAAAAGGTCTGGGGACTTAATGTTTTCAACAAAACCCTCAAAAAGGACCAAGGGTTACAACCACATACCATCCAAAAAGAAAAAAAAAAAGGGAAGTCACATATTATGAACTTGTCACTAAGGAGTTGAAGAAGGAACTGAAGCAGGATCATCATCAGCAGCAGGCTCAACTTGACTTGAAGGAATTGGAGCACTCACCGTACCCGAATCATCTTCTATATTTTCAGAAGTTTCAGCCACGGGAGAAGAAATGTCTTGGCTTTGCTGAATCTTTTCGATGATTTCTTTTATTTTAGCCAACTCAGCCTCCAAGTTGAAATTCTCTTGGCTAACTTCTACAAGGGTATCATGGCGAGAATTTAAAAATGCCCAACTCACTTCAATTGCGGTTTTATCCTCGAGAATCTCGTAATCCTTTTCCCACTCAGCAATTTCACTTTTAAGTTTCTCATTCTCAACCAAGGCAGAATCATAAGAAATTTGAAGAGTAGCATGTGAACTTTCTAAAAAGCGAACCTTACCAGAAGATTCTCGGAGGTCTTCTTGAGTCTGAGTCAAAGTTTGCACAAGTTCACCAGCATAAGCTTCTTTTTTTCTTAAGAGAGCCTTCAACTTTCTGATTTCTTCACTAGCCTTGGAGAGTTGCTCGGAAAAGGAAGTTTCGAGGAGATTTTTATCTTTACTAGCTTGATTTGAGGAAGCTCTTTCAACCCCAACTCCGAAGTTAAATTTCTCAGCTGTTGTTCTAAGGTGCACTTGTTCTCTTCTAATGTTTCCATGTCAATTTGAAGGCTCTCATATTGCTCTCTCCAGTTATCTGCTTCAACTTGGTACTCATGCATCAACTGCTCCGTGTGAGAAACTCTCTTCATCATTTCTGTACCAACGAGGTTGATCTAAAAAAAAAGGTAAGAGCTTTACAAAAAGGAATAACAAATCATTAAAAATACCTTTAATGATGAGTGTATTATGTCGTTCATCAAAGTTAAAGAATTATGGCTCTCAAGCTTGGCCTTCTCGATTGGACCAATTAGAGGTTTCAACCACACATCAGCCCCTCCTGATTTTCTTAAAAGATTGCCATCGGCAGGGACTTCGATGATAACCTGTCTCATGGCTCCACCTCTACTTGAGGAACCAACCTCAATTTGTTGAACAGTTATGGGAGGAGCAGTAGAAGGAGTCAAAATAGCTGGGGGAGAAGCAGCAACGGGAACAACCTTGAAAGGCAAAGAAGGTATTGTAGGAGCAGATAAAGGAAAAGAAGTAAGGGGCGCTTCATCAGAAATTGATTTTAAACTTTCACTACCAAACCCGCGGGTAAAAAGCTGTTCAACAGAATCACGGGCGGCAGCGGGGGTATCATCATCGGGAATCACCAATGAGGCTTCAACAGGCTCGGTGTGAGGAGTGGAACGAGGGGGAGATGCTTCATCATCTGAAATAATTCGTCTCCTAGCTCGTGGCCTTTTTATCAAAGAACCCCCGTCTTGTTCTTCCTCCTCCTCAGTGTCTTGATCGATAGTAGCTTTCCTTTTCGATGAAGAGCCCAAAATTACGAGAAGCTACGACAGCCTCAGCAGTAATATCTCGAAAGGCAAATCCTGATAAAAGAAGGATTAAAATAAATTCTGGAAGAAGTGATAAGAAAAGTTATAACAAAGACTTTTACCGTGAGTTTTCACTTTCCAACCAAATCGTTGAGAGAGAGTTTTCCAAGATCTACCCTCCATCGGGGCAGCATTTAACAACTTTCCTACCCAACCACGAAAATTGGGAATTTCATCGACAATTCCCATGGTTGTTAAAAAAAAGAGAAGGAAATTAAAATGACAATTAACAGAAGTAAGAAAAAGGTATGTGAAGGTTATTAAAAAGAAAACTCGCGTGCAAAATTCCACTTTTCAGGGAAGGGAACGTTTTCTTCACCCACTAAACCAACAGTGGGGGCAGCAACAAACCTGGCATACCAGCCACGGTCCTTATCGTCTTCTGGATTGACCAGAACTCTTTTGCTTCTTGCTACTAAAGTTAAAACTCCTTGGCGAAAGAGTCTGGGAGAGTAAAGGTGAATTAAATGGGATAAAGTAAAAGGCACACCAGCCATGTTGGTTAAGTGTCTCAAACAAGCAATAGCCCTCCCACAATAGGGCCAATTTGCCCTAAACATACGTCGAAAAAACGACAGAATTCGAGGATAACAGGGTCAATAGCAGGTTTGAAACCTAACGAATTCGAGGATAACAGGGTCAATAGCAGGTTTGAAACCCAACGTGAAAGGATATGTATAAACAAAAGAAAATCCAATTAAATAAGAGGTAATTCTTTGGTTCGCATTGGGAATTATAATAGGGAAGTCATGGCTCCAATGGCAATCTTTACGAACTAAAGAAATTAGACCTTCAGTAATCTGAGTTGGGTAGATGTCAGCACGATCTAATGAAGACAGTTGGTTTCTGAGAGATTCTCTATCATTATTAAAAGATAGTTCAACGGGAACAATCTCATCTACAGTGGGTTCACGAAGGGGCTTAGTGGGTTCTTTACTTCTAGACGAAGACCTTTGAGAAAGGGAGCCTCTGGTTCTAGAAGGTGGAGTAGAACTGGACGAAGGAAGAGAAGAACCTCGTGCGGATGAAGACCCTAGATTACGAAGTCTACCTCCTCTCCTACTCCTAACAGGATCAAGATGAAGGTTATCAACAATGGGGACTCTCCTAGGGTTAGGGTTTGACGAAGACATAATAGTACGAGAAAGAAGGAAACAAGAATTATATATTTTGAGAACTTTATGTGAGAAAGACAAAAGTGAAAACTATATTTAAACTCAGAAGCAACCGCCAAAGGAAAAGTTGTAATAATGGAAACGCCATGATGAAAACTGACGTTTCGTAATTGGTGAAGCCGTAAAAAAGCCTTAAAAACGCTGAAAAGTCGCAGAACCAATCAGAAGATGCCACGTGTAGTGGGCATTAAATAGAAGTGACAAATGAAGCGTCAGTTCCAGAGAAGAACTAATGGCGGCAAATATTCCCGCTTTAATAAAATCCACTTCCCAAATATTCTATTGATGAATACATGGCAAGTGGGGGGACTATCTGTATTGGTAAAAATTAAATTTATATATATTGAATTTAATGAAAGATGGCGTGTCATGACACGTAGACTGGTCAAAGATGGCGATCAACAAAGAATAGTTAAAGAGGCACGAGATACAACAGGCACGAGCAGAGATTCAAGAGACTCGGTACCCGCACCTCTTTATGTTCAAAAGTCAAGATAAGAGAATGAACCTTACAGCAAAAGTAGGAACGAATACAGTATTTAATAGGCATTAAATACTGAGAACGTTAGAGAATTTGTATTGAATTACAATGATTATCATTGTAACGTAGCATTAAATACCTTTAATTGTCTATAATGACCTTATTATGACAAAAGCAAAACGTATCACCTAGAAATAACTATAAAAGGGGCAACCTGATCATTTGTAAGGACACGAAATACTACTGGAATATACTGATTTACTTTGCTTTCCATTTGACTTTTATTTACATACATTATTCATATTTGATTATCAGTAACCCGAGTTCTTCTAAAAATAAGCTTTGGCCAAAATCCCATTTTTTGGTTAAACAGATGATGCTCGTTATCCATTAAATTAGTAACTCAGTTGGGGAACAGGTGAAATTTGTTTATACCTTATGAAAGGTGACAAAATGACATTAGATGGAATATATAAAAATAGTTGTTTCAGAACCTGTGCTTGAAAATCTTCTTCAGCACCATGTTATCAGGAAATGGCAATTCGTTCTAATCGATTATGCCATGTTTATACAACCTGTCTCCACCTTCAGCCTGCGTATAAGTCAATGCTGGAGCTGGTAGCCTTGGGATATTATCTTGTGATCCCATCACTGCTTTTGCGGTCCAATACCAAGGCTGAAGGTAAGGTGAACAGATCGACGGAGAATATGAAGAAGTGTGGAGAATCACTGAGCCCCAATCTCTATCACCAAGGTTTGCTTCTTTTATTCTTCTTCTAATCAACAGGCTTCCTACATCTTGCTTCTTCATTTCCGATATGCTTCTGACGATTGACATGCAAAGAAGAAGTACGAATACAGCATCTTCTTCAGGTAAAAACTCCACCACCAATAATTTCCAGTTAAGAAGTGCTGTAGCTTTTCCAACGGGGTCATCCTCCGAGAACCTAACTAACGTTATGAATCCGTCGTCTTCTTTGTCTTCAATTTGCTTTAACTTGTCATTTGGCAGATGTTCTGTCTCTTCAACCAAGCCAGATTTCTTCACATCATACTGCATTTGCCGCCCTTCCAGTAACTTTACCTGCAGGGACTGTGTTCTTAAGATGATCAATACTCTTTAGCAAGTTGTTGCTGCAATCAAATCAAATCAAAGTTAAATACACTGTACCACTGAATCATTTGATTGCTGGTTTATGAGGCTAAAATTTAAGCCTGAACTGGATGTTGATGATTCCGAGCGTACTAGTAGCTCATCTCCAGTTGAAAGGTTCCACATAGAATGCCATCCTTCTGGTGGATCTTTTGGTTTTGCAGTACCTACCACTTTCTCTGTACTAGATGAGAAACACAAGCAAATGACACCACAAATTAGGCAAGAAATCTAGAATGGGAGGCATCCACTGAAAAACAACATGCTCTCTTATGAGTTGGTTACTAACAGATCAAACATAAATCTTTTTAATCTTCTTTTCTTGATCGTTGAAATGAATGTTGGACCAGAAGAACAGATACAGCCACATAGGGGGATAGACAGAGAGGAAATATTACATACCAGGTGCTCTACCTATGGAACCAGCAACGTAGGACCAATGACCTTCACGTATTTCTATAATGCGGTCCTCCCATTTTACAGCTGACGGAGTTTCAGCTCCTCTCCTCCAAAAGCCACCTCCAACTCTAACGTATTGACAAACAAAACACGAGATCAGAAAATAAAACACGAGAATGCAGATGATCACTTAGTCAAAATAGATGTGTCCTCGTGTTCTATACCTAAATCGAATCACAAAGCATTCCCTGCCTGCATGATCCAGAACAGTGCGAGATAACCATCGACCTTCTTGGGGACGATACTGATTCATCTTCAGAATAACATCAGATATCATGGCACCTGAATCATCTGAAACGCGATCGGGTACACATTTCAACAAGTAGGAAGCTTGGGCAGGAGGAGTTATTGAGGTAGCTACCCTGACTGTGTGGTCAATTTCTTTTGCCAAAGTGAGAGAAGGCGCACGTAACAAATCATTCCAAAGAAAGGTTACGCTCTCTCTCAGGCTACTTCCTTTAATGCAGCGACCACCACGTTGGCGAACCTCAAGAACCATTCCTTTCGTTCCAAACTCACAATAGAGATGCAAAGCTTTTCGCCACCTTTGAGACGTAAAGTTGCAGAGTGGTTTATCAATTTTGAGCTCCCTGTGACATCTGACCATCTGAAGACGTAAGAACTCCTTTGATGCATCGAAGCTCAAAGGTTTCATCTTTGATTTTAGCTTCACTGTTAAGCAAACCTGTAATGCAAATCATAGCACAACCAGCCTTTTAATCATCCCTTCCTGATAGCACTGCAACAGTGCAACGCTATTCCCCTCCCCTACCCAAAGAAAAGAAAAAGACAAAAGAAAAAAAAGCTATAGTCGATAAACCTGAGACGCTGTTGTTATGGAATTCACTAACTAGAATGGGCTTCTGAAACCTATGTCTGAGCTCAACCTCTAACCAATTAAGTTATGATGTCATATAGTTTTGATCAGGGAACAGAGATTAATTCCTTTGAGAAAGTACGCTCAAGTTTTATCATTCAAGTCAATACATCAGAAATCTAGGAACAAATTCTATTACCAAAGAAAAGCTCTATCCGTGGAACCTAGTCTCTATCGGTGTGACAGTGATAAAGAAAAATCTTCCGTAGCACAATTGCTTCATTGAACTGGTCTGCTTAGCGGTCAGACCACTGAGTAACCATGCTTGAGAAAAGCCGACTATATGCTGCAGTTCTTGGTGGATTGATCATTTATAAGACAAGCTTATTTCTGATTGTCTTCAACTAGCATAACCAGTGTATTGCCTTCTCCATTACATCAATGATTTTAATCTAACTCACAATAGCCTAAAGAGCAAAAGGCAATAAGTTTTATGATCATACATACGAGAGTATGTATTTTTCTGATTTACAGGCAGCATAAATTTAGCTTTAGAAAGTACAACAAAAGTTTGTCATTTAGTAAAACGGGATTCACAAGATCATATCCTAGATTGGTAATGAATCATGTTATATAACAAAAGAATCTTATGTGATATATTCATACGAGACATGTCAACATGCATTTTGATTCCGAAGCATGAATCCCTCACACTTACTTTTGTTTCTGCTAGTTCCGGTTAATCATGCATAACACTAAGGGAGGGAAAATATTGGTGGTCTGATCGGGATGGACCAAGCCATCCGTACTACATGACAAATTTCAATTATGAATTCCTTGCATGATTTGGCTCCAGGTGCCAGTTGATTGACACCATAATATGCACCAGATTCACCCAAAGTTTTCCAAAATATCCAGCCATCATTGCACGTTGTAACAATCTTACGGCAGAGATTTAATTTATCTAAAATTTTGAAAAATTACAGAGAGAAGCGACTTAAGGAAAACCTCCAACTGCTTTTCCTATTTTTGGAAAAGTTATAGTTCATACGACAAGCATCTGCAAACATTGCTTTGATATGCAACTACTAAGCCAAGGAAAGCCGTAAAAGACTGTTACTTTTCGTTTATATATATCTTGCAACTTTTACTTCTTAGCTCTAACGTAAGTGCAGGTAACTAATTGCTTTAGCACCTTCCTCTAACATACTTCTGAAAATTCATCTTCACCCCTTTATATACCTTTATCTAGGATAACCACTATCATTGTATAAAGTTGACAAGTAGGCATGGATAGAATAAAGACCTATCTACTGATGTGTACATAAGGATAACCTCCCAACCAAAATCATGAAAACATCAAATAAATGGCAGAAGAGGAGAAAAGAAAGGAAAAGTAAAGAGTGATACAAAAAAGAAACATCAATAATTAAATGTGACCTAATCAGATGATGATAGGGTACCAACTTGGACATAAACTAATATACCTTTATAAGTCCTCCTTGAGTTTTTTATTAGAGCTGCAACTATTGGAGAGAGGAAGAAAAAAGAGGGAAGAAATGAGAAAAGCTAGCACAGACCAATCAAACAGTCAATATCAGGATACCCTACGCCCCGTGACTGCATTTTAATATGTCCTAATTTTAATATTGTCAAGTGGGAAATTGCAAAGTGTGAAAGCAAAAGATCCAACTGACCTCAAGCAAGAACCGTGGTAACATGGATGAGTATTTTGCATTAACATCAGTATCTGAGACCTCCCAGTGAATAGGCGGCTTGATCTCAACAGCCTTTCCAATGGCCAAACCACCAGCTTTCTCATATGGCTGATCATATATTCTTTCCCATAGTTTCTTTGTATCCTCAATTCCTTCTTCCTTCACAACCTCCCATGGTCCTACTACTTTTTTCATTTCCTCCTCCAACCCCTTTGTGTCCAATGCGTACGCAGTAGGATAACTCTGATTGATCAATTCATAAAAACCGAAAAAATTGCATAAGCATCACTACACCACAGTCATTATAGATCATTAGACAATAAACATATCTCAACTTGATGAAATCATACATTCGAAATAATATTTAAGTAACCAAATAGTACAAGATCCACGTCGACCAATGAGTCATGAATCACGGTGAACAGCCACCAGGATTATGACATCAAGGTTATGACAAACACGACAGAAATCTCGACACTATACTACCTAAAAGCTGAATAAAATTGATAGTGTACTATATTTGAATAAAGTATTAAGTATTTTATTCTTGTTGCAATACATAAATCAGAAATCTTTTACTAGCAACGTGAATGCCAATGAAAACAGACCAGGCTGATGCCAAAAGAATATGAGCCATGTAATAAATTAATGATCTTTTTGGCCTTTTTTTTAAGATAATGACTAAATAAAGTATTTTCTGAGAATAACAATTCACCCAAAAGTTTATTAATCGATTATGAATTATTTAACTTATCTTAAGAAGCCATGCTCAAAGTCCTAACTTCTAACTGCTTCACCAAAAGTAAATGGATAAGGAAATTAAAGATTTCTCTATAGAACAAAGAAGTGAACCATTAGACAAAACCTTTAACATGTAAATTTCAAAGAAAAACACTTACTTGATGAGTTAGCCACATTAGAAGAATATCTGAAGTAGGGACTAAAATAGAGCTAGTATCTGCAAATCTATGCATCATATACAGAAAGCCTTTATACCGTTGTCGAGCTGCTATCAGATAAACAATCTCTGAATAATAAGGCTCAGAAAATTTGGTGTATAAATGTCTTTGTTTGGATACTTCATTTAGCAGATCTTCACGAAGAATGGAGCAAGGTTTCTGTAAATTGGAGTCAGATTCATTTTCAAAAGGCTCAGTTGGGTATCTTTGAACCCAAATTTCTTTGCATCTATTTAATGCGTACTCTTCATTTTCTTCATTAAATATAGTTGCTTTTCCAACGAGTTTACAGAACCTTGATTCACAATATTGCCTGTAACTTACCTGAAATTAAAATATCCAAATATGCTTTAGCATTAATTATAACTATTAATACACAATTTTAGTAGTGCATTTTGAAGCTCTACTTTCAGTTTAATTTAAGAGAAAATTTTTAAGAGGAAGTGCAAGGAAGAGCTTTCGTGTATGTAACTTTACTCTTTCCTAAACTAGAAGCTCAAACTTCATATGGTAGAACTAACTTTAATGTAAAAAAATAACACTTTTTTTTTGTCCAATATTGTCTCAGAATCAAGTAAAAGAGTAGTACTATTTTCACCGTAATAGTATATCTTACCGGATTTAAGGTGTGACAGTACCAAACCCATTCAATATCAAGAGGAGGGAGAATCATTGGAGGGGTTGACCCATTAGAAAGATCAGAAATTAATGGCATCCATAACTGATCATACCTGCAAATAAGAATAAAACTCATTAAGAGTTCCATCACTCAAACGAACAAGAAACCAGCACCCAGATAAAGTTACGGAGCATTAAGCATGTGAAAATAGTGTGATTAACCTTCTAATAGATTCAAGAATGGTGGGTTTCTCGTGAAGCCAATGAGACTCAGATACAAGTCTCAAGAACCCAAGATTTCGCCTGGAAGCGGCAACAAGATCAACACTCAAACGCACAGTTTCTTCCTCAGATATCTCACTTAGGCTTCTCATGGAACCATCATCCCAAGTTGACATTCTTGTTTTTTCAAGACTCTGCACTGCACCCAAATAGTAACTTGAAACATGTAATACAAGAAAGTTTAGGAGTGGACGGGATTCCTCTTAAAAAGGCATGTTCTTTTAGCTGAAGAAGGAGAAGGCTCTTGTTGCTCCTCAAATAAACAAATGGAAAGAGGTTAATGGTGGCAAAGTATGTTTTTAGTTTATGGGGATATGATAAAAGTCGACACGTGGAATATAAGCTTTGTACTTTTCAGGTGCGATCTACTGTTCTTGGCTGTGACCACTACTTGTGTCTGCCTATAATATAAGGGCCCTTTTGTTGTTTTACCTATGTTTCAAAGGACTAAAAAGAATAAATGGAAAAGGGTCAAATCTACCTCCTTACTATTAGAAAAGGTTTAAATATACCCCTCGTTATACCTTGAGTCCATATATATCTCTCTGTTATTATACTATTGGGTCATATATACTCCTTTTCTGTCAAGTTTGTCCAAAGTAGACATTCAATCCTACGTGGCACTAACATTTGATGAGGTGGATGACACATGGCTTGCCACCTCAGCGTCCCTAACCATTTTACCCCTCCTTCTATTCTTTTCCACCACTATTTCCACCATTATCGCTACCATAAAAAATATTGTATTTCAAATTTTAGTCTTTTATATATGGATTAGGGGCGCTGAGATGGCATGCCATGTAGCATCCACCTCATCAAAAATTAGTGTCACGTAGGATTGGATGTTCACCTTGGACAAACTTAGCAAAAGAAGAATATATTTGAACCAATACTATTATGGCAGGGGTATATTTAGACCCAAAATATAACGAAGGGTATATTTAAACATTTCCCTGTTGTTGGATCTGGTAGAAAATGCCAACTCTCATTGTCCTGTCCCTGTTGTTGTTCCTGGTCCAAGGAGTTCGGGACCCGGGCCTCGTCCGCCTTTGGTTAGTGAGCAACCAATAATCAGCACTGCTCCTGTTGCAACTGCTTCTCAACCTAATACACCAACAACTTCACACCCTTCTACACCAACTGCTCCTACGCCTCCAGCATCCGTTGCATCTTCTCCACCGGCCACAGATGCTCGAGAGGAGGGTGCTTCTCCTCCCCAGTCCCCTGACCACATGAATTTGGGGCACAATTACTCACCCCCTTCTCCAGATCCTCGAGGGAGGAGGGGTGTCACTCTCTCGGTTTCGAAGAGGTGCCATATGCTGTCTAGGCCGGTGGGGCTTGCCAACTACCTGAAGTCGCTGGCTTCAGAGAAAGATAAAAAGTAGATAACACTCCCTTACTAGGGAGTGTATGTTGAACAACGCCATACACAATGCGACACCGGTACCGAACTTGTTCTCTTACTGCTTGTTCTTTGTTTATCTATTATAATGGGATTTTTGACTTTGATATACGTTTTTCAGGCCAACTTCCTTGCGTCTGAGGGCCTTTAGATATTGATCCTTGATAAAGAAGGACTTATGTCCGAGCGGGATCAGCTGTTAGCTGAGAGGAATCAACTCGTTGCGCGCCTACCGGTGCTAGAGGCAAAGGCTGCTGAAGCGGCCGAGCTTGAGGCCCGGTTGTAGAAAAGTGAGCAGGAGGTGATAGCCCACAGTCAAGAATCCACTTAGCTACATGCACAAATTCAAGATGCTAAGGCTAAGTGGGCTGAGTTTCAAGATGTTGCTCTTGCTGCTATCGAGCGCGAGTCTGCCTCCGTTGACCGAGTAAATAACTTGGAGGCAGCCTTGAACTCCAAAATCGAAGAGGCTGTTATAGCCGAGGAGAAGCGAGCCCGGATGGAAGAGAGGTTTAAAAAGGTCATAGAGCAAAATCGGGTTCACATATCTACAATCTGTGATCTTGATCTTAGCCTTGGTGCCACAAGATCTGAGCGGAATGGCCTTTTGGCCGAGGTTGAAAGACTTAAGTCAAAGCTCTAACACCAATGGGATTCCCTCGCCTTTGAAAAGACATACTCTATGTATCATATGAGGAGGAAAACCTTGGACGAGGCCAAAGTGGGCGCCATTGATATTGATGATGAAATTACCAAGGCCCGGGCGCTGGAGTTAACTGCTCGAGAACGTCTCCTGGCTCAGCATGACGCAATTGATTCTTCTAGTACCGGTTTCGAGTATTCGATAATCGAGAAAGAATTTGAAGAGAATGCTGATAAAGGCCAAGATTCTGCACCGGCGGCAGATCCGCCGACTTCTCCTGAGGGGCGTAGATGCCTCTCCCCCCATGAGTTCTGGTGGCGATGAAGTTTATATTTTTCCTTTTTTCTTTGTTATTTTCCTTTGTTCCTTTGTACTTATGACGTTTGGCATGTTGATAAATAAATAAGACTTTTGTTTAAGTATTGCACAAAGTTTATTCTTTTTGCGTCGAATTAGATAAGGCTTCAGGTGTATTTTCGTCCGATAGCTTTTGGGTTATGGGCATAAATTCTTCCGGAACTAACCCTTTACTATGAGGGCTTCATAAGAGAGGGCCCTCTTATGTTTACGATGCTCTTGAAGATGACGTCACCCGTTTATTCCAGCACAAACATTTGAAATTTTTTATTAACTTTCAAATGATAAAATCAATTCATCGTTTGGATAAGAAACAAGACTAAAATATAAGGACTTTATTTTATTCTTTCTATCTTCAAAAGTACATAAGCATTTGTTTACTAAAAAAAGAAATTGTCAATACATGTGGCTAACTTGTACAACTTATTTCTACGGGGCTGGGCGTGCAGTCCCTGGTCCTGACGAGACATTATTATTCACGGATCTCGTAGTCCCGATTTTCTTGGAAATTGCGTTGCCGTATTCTCATACTATTCCCCCTAGTATTCGAATGCGAAGTATGCGAATTGGAAACAGGAAGTCTTGCTCTGCTGGGCAAAGCGCTTGTGAACAGTTGAATAGCCTTTGGTTCGATGGCAAGCTTTACTTCCCATTAGAAATTTGCCATCGAGCCAAAGACTATTTAACCATCCCAAGTGGTTTGTTATTTCAATGCATTGTCATTTAAAGGTATTAACTTTGTCGATGGCGCCCTCTTTGTAGTATGATTTCCGTTGCTGCCTCGTTAAAAACCTTGTCAGAAAAACCCGATAGGGACAAAAACTGGTCGAAGGGAAAAAGAGTGCAACACCTACTTTCAATATAGGCAGGACCCATCAGTAATAATACCTTTTGAGGTGAGTCACGTTCCAATTGCTAGGCAACTTGACTCCATTTTGATTCTCCATCTCGTATGATCCTTTTCCGATGACAGCTGAAACCCGGTAGGGGCCTTCCTACGTCGGACCTAGCTTCCCAGCGTTTATTTCCCGGGTGTTTTAAGTCACTTTCCTTAAAAACAAGTCTCTAACTTTAAAATAGCGTAGATTGGCCCTCCGGTTATAGTATCTTTCCATCCTTTGCTACTGAGCCACCATCCTCACGTGTGCCAAGTCATTGCGTTCATCGAGTAGTTCCAGCTTTACCGGCAATGCCTCATTATTTGTTTCTTCGTCTGTTCAGAAGAACTGTAAGGTTGGTTCTCCTACTTCCACCAAGATCAGAGCTTTTGCGCCGTATCTGAGAGATAAAAGTGTCTCTCATGTGCTTGATTTGGCCGTCAGGTATGCCCATAGCACGCCCGTTAACTCTTCGGGCCATTTGCCTTTAGTTGCTTCTAACCTCTTTTTGAGGTTTTCAATAATCACCTTACTGGTTGATTTCGCCTGCCCATTAACGCTCAGATGGTATGGTGAGGATGTAATCCTTTTGATTTTCAGGTCGTCAAGAAATTGTGTGACTTTGGAGCCTATGAGCTGTGGTCTTTTGTCGCAGGCAAGCTCCTTCGATATTCTAAACCGGCAAATTATGTTTTCCAATAGGAATTCGACCACTTCGCGCTTACCGATCTTTTGGTAAGGACCTGTTTCAACCCATTTAGTGAAATAATCAGTTAAAATGAAAAGGAATATTACCTTTCCGGGACTAGGTGGCAGTGGCCCAACTATATCCATCTCCCATTTCATAAATGGCCATGGGGACAGTACCGAATGCAAGAGTTCCGCCGGTTGGTGCACCAATTGTTCATGGCACTGACATTTCTCGCAATTCTGAAGGAACGCCTTTGCTTCATGTTCCATCCGGCGCCAGTAGTATCCTGCCCTAATCAGCTTTAGAACCAATAAATTTGCACCGAAATGGTTCCCACAAATTCCTTCATGGACCTCTCTCATTACGTAGTCCGCCTCCGAGGCTCCCAAGCATCGGGCAACGGGCCTTGGAATGATCTCTTATATAATTGTCCACCAATGAGGCTGTAGTGAGCCGCTTTGGTGCGTAGTGCCCGGGATGCCTTCGGGTCTTCGGGCAGCTTACTATGCTGAAGATAATCGATGAAATAATTCCTCCAGTCCCAGACCTCGTTGGTCGTATTTACTTCTCAATAGCCATCCACATCCAGTACCGAATGCATAAGTTGAACCACAATACCGGAATCAGATCATTTCATTTACGTGGACGATCCCAAAATGTCCAATGTATCTAATTATATGTTCTTTTCTCTCGGGATGTGTGTGATCGACCACTCCCTGAACCGTGTAAGCAAAGTTTGAACTTTAATCACATATTGTTGCATGTGTTCCTCATTTGTATCGAAAAATACCATATACTTGGTTTACTACCAGCTGGGAATCACATTTGATCTCTATGACCTCGGAGACAAGTCCCCGGGCCAGTTCGAGTCCTGTAAACGAAGCCTCATACTCGACTTCATTGTTAGTCAACGGAACAGTTTTTATGGTCTGCCTCAGGGTCGAAGGCGTGATTAGGACCACCCCAAGCCCGGACCCTTTCACATTGGAAGCTTCGTCCATGAACAAGATCCAAACTCTTGATGTCATTTCCGACACCATTATCGCTTCTTTAGCAGCTAGGGGTAATAACCCGAGATTGAAATCGTCCTCAAAGTTGGCCAAAATTTATGACTTGATCGCAGTCCTAGGCTTGCACTCAATATCAAATTCACTAAATTCAACTGCCCATTTGGCCAACAAGCCGGACAACTCAGGCTTGTGAAGAACATTCAGCAAGGGAAAGGTTGTCGCAACGGCTATCAAGTGGCACTGAAAATAAGGCCTAAGCTTTCGAGAGGCGACTACGAGAGCTAAGGCCACCTTTTCGAGGTGCGGATAACGAGTCTCTGCTCCCGATAAAATTTTACTAACATAATAGACAGGAAATTACGTACCTTCATCCTCCCAGACTAGAACGGAACTCATCGCCACTTCCGAGACCGCTAGGTTTATTATTAATTGTTCATCTTCCCCCGATTTTGATAGTAGCGGGGGGCTTGATAGATAACGTTTCAGGTCTTTTAAGGCCTGTTGACATTCTGGAGTTCATTCGAAATTGTTTTTCTTCTTCAGAAGTGAGAAGAAGTTTATGACATTTTTCCGAGGATTGAGAGATGAACCTGCTTAGAGTGGCCAATCTTCCAGTTAGCCTTTGGACTTCCTTTATGCTTGTCAGCTGATCTGGGATGTCCTCGAGGGCTTTGATCTTATCGGATTTACCTTGATCCCCTTTTGTGAAACCAAGAAACCCAAGAACTTACCGGAGCCAACCCCAAATATGTATTTTTCGGGTTGAGCTTCATCTTGTGCTTCATCAAGATATCAAAGGTTTCCTGGAGGTGCTTTAAATGGCCACCTGCATTCAAAGACTTGACCAACATGTCATCTTTGTATACTTCTATTATTTTCCCTATTTGCTTCTCGAACATCTTGTTCATGAGCCTATGATAAGTGGCTCTAGCGTTTTTAAGCCCGAAGGGCATCACATTATAACAATATGTGCCAAAGTCCTTTATGAACGAAGTCTTTTCCTAATCCTCTGGGTTCATCTTAATTTGGTTGTACCCGGAATAGGCATCAAGGAAACTCATTAACTCGTGCCCGGCCATTGCATCAATCATTTGATCAATGTTTGGCAGTGGGAACAAGTCTTTTGGGCACGCCTTATTCAAGTCTTTATAATCTACACACATTCGAAACTTGTTATCCTGTTTTGGAATTACAACTACATTAGCTAGCCATTCGGGATACCTTACCTCCCGGATTGAACTGATGTCAAGTGATCGAGTTACCTCTTCCTTAAGAAACCTATTTCTAACCTCGGCTAGCGAGCGTTTCTTTTGCCTTACCGGAGGGACGCTTGGGTACAGGCTTAGTTTATGCATGGCCACCTCTAGTGGGATACCTGTCATATCCGAGTGCGACCATGCGAAA